AAATTTTATGTCATACAAAAAATGTCATCTTCAAATTCTTCAAGATTCATCAAATAATCCAATTCACCAGCACAATATTTATCGACAAGCTGCGAATAGAAATCTTAAAGATTATCATTCCAAAATGGAGCATCAAATGCGTACCAAATATAATATTCATGAGCGTAGTTATAAAGTTGGTGACCTTGTTAAAGTACAAATTGCTAAGATTGACCGTGAACCTAGTGATCGTTGTGCACTACCATGTAAAGTATTTTTTGTACTTTCCAACGATGTATATCACCTTGTATGCCAATTTGGTGTTCTTGAAAGTACATTTCCAGCCAGTAAAGTTTTACCCCTCGGACCAAGAGAATTTTTAGAGCTTAATGATCCTCCAACCAATACGACTGTTAGTATAATTGAAGCCGCAAGATTACAATCCAATGCTATTGCCAGCAATAAAACATGTAATTGCAGGGGTGACTGTCTTACAACCAGATATTCTTGCAGAAAGGCAAATGTTTTATGTGGGAGTGGGTGCCATCCAAAAAATTTGAAATGCAAGCACAAGGCTTGAAAACTGAAGGGTCAAATAATAATTCAATTTTTTTGTTTTTTCAAATTTGTATTTGCAAAATCCATATTATATACTAGCATAAAATGCTATGTATAATCGGTCTATAACAATTATTATCACGTATTGCTTTTTCTATTGCAAAGGCTCCAAGTTTCTCTACATATACTTCATTACTTAATTATCAAAAGTATTTGATATTTTTAATTGATAAAATTATTGTCCCAAATATGCACAATTAAGGATCATAAAAAAAATTATACAATTTTCTAAGTTATCAAAATCGAAATCTGAAGATAAGTTATCTTTTTTTTTTTTTATCTGTACTTGATTTTTAAACTAATACATTTTCATATTTATTTAGTTATTAAATTTATAGCTTACAGTAATCGTACGATCGGTCAGCTTGAATTAATTATTCACGTAACTAATTTATGTCAATATGATCTACTATACTTTCTCAAACGTGAAGTTTCATTAATTAAAAACCACAAAGATCAAAACCGGAGGACTTTAATTAATTAGAAGAAAATATGTACAATCGCTAGGTAATTAATTTATGTTTATACATTCTGCTGCATTTCTAATATTGTAATGTTTTACTAATACTAACTAAAGAATTTTGACTGTTACTTCGAA